TTCTGAAGAAGCCTCCATGGGCTGCCTAATCCTGAGGGGACCGTCTTGGTGGGTTTGCATGAAGCTCCCCGGATTTAAGTCCACTGGGGCGGAGGCTGGGACACGCTGTCCTGTGAACACAGGTTGGTTCTCCGAGTCGGGAACGTGTAACTCAAGGCGGAGAAGGCCAGGGCCTTGCATGGCAGGACCGCGCTCAGCCTGAGATGGAGTCCTCGTCTGAGGTTCAGGTACAGGGCGCCTTCCTTTGACTCAGCGAGCACGTTTCACTGGGATGCTGGCACATCTTCCTTTCCCTCTAGAGCAGATGCTGAGAATTCACTGGTCTCTGGGCTGCAGCTTTTCTCTCTATAGCTCCGAAAGCTCTATTGACTGAATGACAACCATGTGCCAAACAGTAGGCTAAGTGCTTCACGAATAAGATCTCACTGAATCCTCCCAGTAATTCTACGGTGTAGGTATCCTTATCTCCATATTACTTCAGGCAACTGAGGTGAGAACCAGGAAGGAAGACTCTGTCTGAGGCACACAGCTGATGACAAGGGGAGCTGATGTCTCCGTGGGGTTCTCCAGCTTCAAAGCACCCCATTAAAAGGAAGAGCCTGCTACTTTGTCTTCAGAGCACCCCCGGAAGGGTACACCCACCTGTGGCACAGGCTCAGAGCTCAGGCAACGTCTATATCAGCCTGCCCTGCTGTCACCTGCCTAAACTCTGGTTGTGTCATCAGCATAGAGACCATTCACTGATGGATGCTGGCTTATGTGGCATCTCACCGACTTCAAGCCAATTCAGTAAAAATCCTGAGACAAACAAGATTTGGTGAGACTCCATTCTTAATCATACTTTAGTTAGGAGAGCACATACATATCACAGCAACTCTGGGACGTGACCTCTCTAAGTTTCTCCTGTTTTCTGATAAAGAGAACGTTCACCATGTGCATATGTAAGAGGTTGGCTGTTACAGGCAAGAAACCCTATTCGGATTAAGCATTTCTGGACATTGCCATAATTCAGCCCCAAACGGTGACTGTTTCTTGTCTACCAGTGAAGCAATCTTCAGGTTAAAATCTAGTTTATTTCTTCACGTGGGAGCAAAATCTTGCTTAATGAAATGATCACATTTTTTTCCCCTACTGTATCCTAAAATCAAGTTTGTGACTTTTTAACACAGAAACAAAGGAGAAAGGCGTGGCCAAAAGTTTGAATGTGCTCCTGGCTGGGAATTCAGAGAACCTAAAATCTCACCCTAGTTGTGTCACCCCCAAACAATGCTTACTTGGCTTTCTGAGCCCCAGTTTCTATATGTGAGATAAAGATAAAGCCTAAAACACTAATAAATTATTATTATTACCATTACTCAAATGGAGCAGTGACCGCTGGGAATTGTCCTGGCCCTTGGTGATGGTAAGTCCTCCAGAGGAGCCTGCTCTGACCTGGCCTCCTGTTTCCAGCTAACTCCCTTTCTGTTTTGCCCCCAGAGCCCTTTCTGGGTGATGTCACGTGGGATGACCCTATTCCTGCAGACAGGATTGGTGCACTGGCTGTTATTATCTGACCCCAGGCACCTTTGGATCTGGGAAAGTTGCAAAACACACATGGGAGATTCCCTCACAAGGAAATGTCCCAGGGCCCATCCCACTAAGTGCTTGATAAAGTGATTGATGATGAAGTAAAGGACGGAAGTGCTTTTTATCCTCCAGGGGAGCCTGGCGTCAATGGTCAGGCTAGGAAAGGGGATTGGATGTATTTCCTTAGGAGATTGTTAATCAGAATTTCTGCCTCAGGAAATCAAACCTCAAGTGTAACCTTCCTTCAGGTATGAAGTACATGAGTTAAACAATGTCGATCACCTCCCTTTACGTATAAAAATGCCTGTTTTACCCGTGAGTATTATCGTTCACTTATTTACTCACAGATTCCGCCAGGCTGTGAGTCAGGCCATAGGTTTTCTCCTGAAGTCCCAGTGCTCAGTAAATTTATCCATTTGATAAGTGTCCACGGAGTTCCAGGCACCTTGATAAGCCAAATATTTACTCTGGTGAAGCTGCCAATGATCAAAACGTTTCCAGGCTTTTTTTCCCTTTGTGTTCAGGGCCTGGGGTGCATTAATTATACAAGATCTGTCATTCATGGAGCCAGGGCACTGACGTCATGTAATCCAACCCAGGTGAGAACAGGAGTCATGGTGATGTAGGTGCAGGAGCTGGCCTAACAGAAAGGACCTCAGCTCGCACCTGAAGGACCATTATCTGCCATGTTCACAGATGGGGACCTGGACACGGAAAAGTAAATAACTTTCACAAAGTCAACATCCTACATGGAAGAACCCAGACGCTTGCATCCAGTTTCTCTTTTTTTAAATTCAATACACCAGTGTCCTCGACAGTGATGTTGTGAGAGGGCTTGGTATTTTGGAAGCATTCACAATGGATCACGAGCTAGTTATTATAAATAAGGTGGGGATCTCAAATGGATAACAGAGGGTTTGTATGGTTTGTTTTGTTTTTGATAAAATGGAGACATGGCGTCTCGGGTGCTGAACCACATTTTCTTGGATGGCTTAGGAAGTGGTCCTGAGGACGGACAGCTCTGGGAAGCTAACTCTGAATTTCTGTGAGCAGTGTCTGTTTCTCTACAGGAAGCCCGTGTGTCCCTCTAGGACTCTTTTTGGAGAAGTGCGGTGTATTCATGGGGTGTACAGGGGGTCACGATTAGCTCTTGGCATCTCGGTTCTAAGGTCCAGGCTTTCTCCTTCTGGGGCATGCACACCACTCACTGTATTTGTTGTTCATTTTTAGAACAGACAATAGGACATGGGACCTGAGGTTTAATGACCAGCAAACAACCATAATTTATATAATAATATACAAAAAATATATATATGTATATATATATATATGTGAAAAAATATATATATACATATATATATGTATATATATATATATGATATATATATATATGTATATATATATATATATATATATATATGAATCCAACCAACAAACAGAAATTATCATAAAGCAAATCTAAACCCAGTCAGGAACAGGAATAATATCAGGGTGGCATCGTATAGGAGGAAAACTACCCAGGCTTCCCTCTCAGGACTGCACCATAAACTCAGGAAGAGGCAGCTTTGACTGTCTGTAGGTAAATTCTAAGTAAAAACCTGTCCGGCTTCTTTAAAGACCTTACAGTAAAGTGACTTAGCAAACGAGGCAGAAATCCTTGTGGTTTCCAGATAAGGGCTGCAGCCCTCTGGCCTATCTGTGATGAGGTCAAGGAGAGAATGTTGTGTAAATAAAAGCAGTTGGGGTTCGGGTTTAGACATCTTTGTGGTGCTGGCTGGTCGAGCTGAACCACTTCACCCTCAGGGGTAAACACAATAGGCCGACTGTGGCCGCAGCAAGTGGGAAAGCTGAAATCCTCAGCCTTTTGTTTCTTAACTTAAATTGTTAGGTCCGTGGCTAAAAATGTGACATACTCTCAAGATTTCTACATCCCATAAGTACTAAACAACAGCGAGCCATCTATGACTGACCATTTTGCAGGAGGAAGGAAATAGCTTACAGGAATATCGAAAGGAACCTTGGACTTTTGGCCAGTGCTCATTTGTTTTTTCTCAGGTCCTGCCTCAGGAAACTGTAAGAAAAATTTCACAGGACACTGAGGGTGTTGGAGGTTACATGGAGAGGCAGTCAAGTGGCAGAGAAGTCATGGCCAGGTTTTATCATCCATGACCTAAGAAACTCTGCGAAAGAAACAAGCATTTCTAAACAGCAGGGCTGATATGGAAGGCAATGGATGGATGCATAGAACAAAGCTGGATATACAGTGATGGTGATCATCAGGCAGAATGAACCTTGTAAAGCTGTGACCACGGGAACAAAGCAGTTACTGACAGCTAGGCTAGAGATATTCAACCAAAGATCAAAGCATACATAAGAGCGCCGCCTTAAATATTTATCTGGAGATGCTTGGAAGCCAAACATGTTGAAAGGCCCAGATTAGCTCCGTGAGAACCAGAGAAGATGACATAGGTTTCCCTCTGCTCTCTGGCTATGGGAGATTCTAGAATCAATGGATGACTTACTCATTCTTTTATTCTTGATATTAACAACTACAAAGGGACAGACAACGTAAAAGACATGGGAACATGGGGATATTTAGAACGGTCCGCAGTCCCTTTCAACTAGAGGTCTACTCTGCACTCTTCATGAGAAAGTTGAGGGGTGCCAGCAGCTCACTGCCATCCGGACACCTAGCCGTAGCGATGCCCCTCCTCTCCTCAGCCCTGGGGTCATGTGACTCACCAGCTAGCCCACTCAGGACCACCGTAGGGCTTCCCCAGCCTTACCTGCCAAACTCACTGCAACTCCCCGGAAGAGAAGACCACTGGGAATTGTCACCAAGCTCAAACACTGACCCTCCCCCAGGAGGGAATCAAGCTCTCATTCGCTCCTGGTTTTACCAGTTATTACTTATGAAAAGCTCCTTTGTTAAACCAACCTGTCATGTCCAGGCTGCTGGAACCCAAAGCCCTATTACTTCCTTGCCTCCGAGCACTTTGGCTATGCTTGCTGGAAGATGACAATTACATGGCCTGACATTCTCACCTCCCTCAGCCCCACCCCACCTTACACCTTACCTGAAGCCTGTCCTCAGAGGGACCTACCTTTCTTTCTTTTACTTTTCACGTAAGTTAGGAGTGAGAAGTGGGGACAGTGTCATCATCGAGTCCCCATATCACTTTTAGACCATTGCTCTTCACGCCTGCACAGCCCCCAACCCCACCCCCAGTTTTAAAAAGAAAAATAGTGGCCAATTAATTTACAACAAAGGAGCCAAGAACATACAATGGGGAAAGGACAGTCTCCTCAATAAAGTATGTTGGGAAACCTGGACAGCCACATGCAAAAGAATGAAACTAGACCAGTATCTTACACCACACACAAAATTAACTCGAATTGGATTGAAGACTTACATGTGAGACCTGAAACCATAAAACTCCTAGAAGAAAACACAGGCGACACGCTCCTTGACGTTAGTCATGGCAATGATGTTTTGGATTTGACACCAAAAGCAAAATAAACAAGTGGGAACCACATTGAACTAAAAAGAGAATGCAGGAAACTGACTTGGAGACGGTCGCAGTACAGAGACATGGTGAGAGCTAGAACTGACGCTGTGTGGGGAGGATGGACAGAAGGCTGCGGACCTCAGGGAGACTAAAGAAGCGTCACTCGAGGACTTGGTGAGTGACTGGCCATGAGGGCAGGGCAGGAAGGCATCCAGGTGCCCAGATTCCCAGGTCGGGAAGCTGTAGGGTGGGTGAGGGCACTCTTAGGATTGGAATGCAGGGTAAGGACAAGGTCAAGGGCTCAAGATGACGGTCCGCAATTTCACCATGCTAAGTTTAAGGTCCTGAGGACCTGAGGAGAGAAGGTGTCCCAGAGGCAGTCAGATTATGATGCTGGACTTCAGGACAGACGTCCGGGCCAGAGACGCGTCACTCAGTGTCACCAGCATAGAGGTGGTGGTTGGACTTTGGGGAATAAGAGGACCAAGGATGGTCAACGTGATGGTAATAGGTGTTGTGTATTTTCTCAGTCTAGTAAGTGGCCTGAGTGGGGGCAAGTTTCATCCAAACACCAGAATCACTTCGCATCCTGGGATATCCTGACTCAGCGTGTTGTTGCCATGTTATTTACTGATACAGTCAGCACTTAATAAATACCTATAAACTCTATGACTTCATGCTTTTGTAAACCTATTGGGTCAACAGAGTAAACATGTGCTTTATCTATAGAGCTGATTCTGAGTTATCAGTCCCATTATCATGGGAAACCCCTGGTCTAGGAATGAGACCATCCAGGCTGTGTTCTCACTTTTGCCACTTACTCATGTTTGATCCGTCCCTCACCTTCAGTCTCTGCATCTGTAAAATGACAGGCAGGACCCCGTCCGGTTGTGACATTTTGTGTTGTCTTCAAACTTTCAAAAGGGAAATATGTCTCTCACTGGAGGTTTCATTTGACGGTTTATAACCCTTTAAAAATGTGCCGTGTGCAGAATTTCTCCCAACCAGCGAAGTCCACCGCAGTCGATGAGGATTTCTTCTCTCTGCTTAGTCATTTTCTCAGTAAGGGGATTTAATCGTTATGTGGGTTCTAAAAATGAAGATAGGCTGGAATGTGCATTACACCTCAGATAAATAGTGATCCCAAAATAGCAGGTTAGTGTAACTAAAGGGCAGAGAACAGGCTGAGAAAGGGAGAAAAACCCATTATGGTAAAGGTGCTGCTCGGAAAATGCTGGGGAGAAATTCCAGCTCATACACAGCTCACTCATTGATGCTTGTTTGTGTGTTTGTTTGCTTGGGGGGAAAAAATAGTCCTGGGAGAATTTTGCACATCTCACAATAGAGCCAGAAGGCTTGCCGCAATGTTTCTTTAAATATGTTTCGTTCATTCCCTGGGTCTTTACACTGAAAAAAGAACCTGAAATACAACTTATTGTTAATTATTCATTTCTACTTAGAGAGTAAATACACATAGTGAGGTGGGCCAGGTAATGAACTAACTGGGCGACAACCACACAATGACAATAAGAGCCAGTTCTATGTTAAAACATGTTTTGGGGGAAAGTGGGGTAGGCAATGGTGGGAAGGTTTCTTTCCTGCAGGACTTCTCAGAGCCTTTCCCCGCTAATGTGCATTTTCAGACTTCAAAGAGAGCTTGCAGAGCCAAGTTAACTTGGCCTTGGACACCTTCCTCCTCCTCCCCCATGTCTCTTGTGAATAATGACCCACAGAAAGTGCCCTGCTGCTCTCCAGCCTCTTAAGTCCATCCCCGGACTAGCCAGCCCAGCACAGAGCTGCCCTTCAGGACCACATGGTAGCCTCTAAAATACTTTTACAGAGTCGGCTTTGTCGGGATAGCAGCCCCAAAGTGCAGACGTTGAATGGTCTTCTGTGTGTGGCAGGTTAGGCTATAGCTGAGAACGCAGTGCAGAGCGGGTCTCCTTCAGGAGGACTCAGGGACAAATTCCTCTCCGTCCTCAGGGGACAAGGGTGGCCCTTCACCCCGACGGTGCTGGTTTGTCCCCTGGATGCAGGGCGCTGGCTTCCCTCCATCACCAGCCCTAAAAGGGCTAGAGCCGTTTGTGTCTTTCCTCTTACAAACATACAAGAAGGGTTCTTATCATTTGTTTTGAAATTAACCTCATTCCTGACTTCTCTCTTAGTTCCCCTCTGACTTGATGTCCCCAATCACAAATTTTACTGTCATCCAATCTAGTCATGTTACCGTATTTGCCGGCGTATAAGATGATTTTTTGGCCCTGAAAAATATGCCTCCAAGTGGGGGGTCGTCTTATACGCCAGGTACACTTCAGATAGACTGCCCATAGTGCTTGCCCCATGCCATAGTGGCCTCCCGATGCCCGCCCACTTCATTCCACATACCGTTCAGGCATCAGCAGCGCTGCTGGGTGTATGGTCGGCTGTGTGCGATTTTGCGAGTGTGGTAAATTCGGGTTACCGTATATTTCTTTACATATGCATTGAAGATTCGTGATTTTGCGCTATCATGGTGCCTGTTAGAATGTTGAAGAGCTCGCACTTGCGCACTAGTGAGGTCCCAGGGAGATGCTGATGCAAGGGTGGACCAGACTGCTATAGTGACAGGGCGGGCAAACAGGGAGCAGGGACCAATCAAATCAGGCTTTGTATACAGCCAACAGCCAACCACAATACTGCACCATTGTACAGTACAGCATAGAAAATGTCGACCAGTCAAACCCCTATCATCCCTATCATGGCACCAGCCAAAAGAAAGAAGTATGATGCAAATTTTAAACTGAAAGTTATAAACTTTGCTAAGGAAAATAATAATTGTGCTGCTGCAAGACAATATGGAGTAACAGAAAAGATGGTTCGGGACTGGAAATCAAATGAGAAAGCATTAAAGAGTATGCCAAGGGGTAAGTGTGCATTAAGAAGAGGCACCCCACACTGGCCAGAACTCGAAAAACATGTAGCAGACATGGTGGCTCAACATCGCCAAAACGGTTATGTGGTGACACGAAATACAATACGCTTGTTTGCACTTCAGTGGGCCAAATCAAATCTGATATTGTTTTACCTTTTATTTGGTGTGTGGAAGGTGTGCGGAAGAGGGGGTAGTCTTATACGGCAAGTATATAACAAACTCTGTATTTTGAGTGGAAATGTTAGGGGGTCGTCTTATACGCCCAGTCGTCTTATACGCCGGCAAATACGGTATATTTGTGTTTCTCTTTTTTAAAACTGTTTCACAGGCTCTCTGGGTGGGGAGAACCGGGAGGGAATGGGAGAGGAAGCAGGAGAGAGAGGAAGAGAAGGAAAATCTACCCCCGTATATGCCTGGGTGCTTTGTCAGTTCCTTTTCCAAAGCATACCCAAAATAAAGAAGTTTCTGCAAACAAGCAGTTTTCAAGAAACTTCTGGCAAACTGGAAATTAGTTCCAATTTTACCAAGGAACAGGAATGACATTAAGCTAAACTTCAAGAGGTGGGAAGCAAAGCTCAGTGAATGTCATAAGACAGAAGAGAGAGTTTTCTACTGGGCAGATCAAAGATGTGAATTCTGCAGCCAGGTCCCCAAACAGAGGAAGATCGGAGGCGCACGAAAGACCGGGAGGGGAGAGCTGACCTCACTGGGATGCAAGGCTCCATAATTTGGGCAGAACAAGAGTGGTAGTGAGGCAATTCAGAGATGTCAGACTGGACCAAGCAGCATCCCTGGTCAGGGTTCACTGCAATCAGGAAGCGAGAGAAGAAAGGATTAGCACACGCTGCAGTAATAGCGCTTTATGAGCAGCTGGCCTCACTGCTACATAACTTGGTTTTACCCCCCTGTACACCGAACGTGTAATCCTGCTACTGCTGTGTCATTCCTTCACATCGCGTCCATCTGGCTCCTCCATCCACATGAATAAAGGGAGCATTACTCCTTTAAGCTCTAATGAACCACCCACGGATTCACTGGGTAAATCCAAGGCTTCTAGATTGAGCTGAGGCAGAGAAATGCAAATCTTGGTAAAGTGAGGCTTCAGAAAGAACTTAATCACAGAAGCAAGAGACTGAAGGGTTGCGACAGACAGAAATGAATCCCAGCGCTGGGAGGGATCTGAGCTGTCATCGAAACCAAACCCCCTAGAGTGTAACGCGGGAACAGGCTCCCAGAAAACTGACATGGCGTTTACTCAGCTCAGAAGTGGTCACTCAAAACAGTGTAAACAGACAATGAAACAAAACTCCCGCAAAACGCAGCTGAGTATCAGGAGTAGCATAAACCCCAAGAGCCCTAAGAGGTCCGCTGGCCCAGCCTGATGGGGCCCTACGACCGGCCCCAGCCTTATGCCAGCCACCACCTCCCTCCCGCTTCCCACCAGTTTCCCGGAGTCCCTGCCCACCACCAGCCGCAGGTCTGTGCCCCTTCCCACGCTGAAATGTCACTCTCAAGCCGTGGCTTGTCGCCTGCCAGTCATCCCCACAATGTCTTCCCCGCTTGTTCCAACGGTGGCTGGCTAACTCCTCCTCAAGTCTTTAAGGCTCAGCCTGAGCAATATTTCATGAGAGTCGGCCCTGACCTGCCTCCACCATCAGCCCGGTGACACCCGTCTAGGCAGTTTCCACGGCACCTCTTTGCCTAGTATTAGAGGCGTGGGCTCCCGTCAAATTGCTGGCACTTGAAGCCTATCTCTACCTCTTATTGTCCTGTGTACCTTGGGCAAGTCACTTAATTTTCTCTGCACCTAGGAAATGATGATAATGTCTATCTCCAAAAGGACGTGGTTATATATTAAAAGAGTTTCATATAAAGTTCTTAGAAAAGTTCCTGGCACATGGGAAGTACACATTAAATATCAGCTCGTGCTATGATTACCCCCATTACTGGTTTTACCAAAATCATCCTGAGTCCTTGAGGTTAGAAGGGGTGACCTAATCATCTCTATCCCCAGCCCTTAGCTCATGGTACCTGGCACACAGTAGGTGCTCAGAAAGCATTTTATATAGATAAATAAATGCATTAGTAAAACCAAATTTTTTATTGTCATTCAGTTTGCAGAAGTGACTTATGTTTGAGGAAAGGGATAAAATGGAGCAGGTAACGGGTCAGCTGCCTTTTGAGGCAGGCAGGCAAAATTCTGGCTTGACAACAGAATGTGGAAGAGGTCTTTGAGATATTCTCTTTCATACGACTAAACGCT